CCTCCTGAGTAGCTGGGATTACAGGCACGCGCCACCATGCCCAGCTGATTTTTTGTATTTTTAGTAGAGACGGCGTTTCACCATGTTGACCGGGATGGTCTCGATCTCTTGACCTTGTGATCCACCTGCCTCGGCCTCCCAAAGTGCTGGGATTACAGGTGTGAGCCACCGCGCCCAGCCTCAAACAGTTTCTATGCTTAAATAGCTGGAAGCAGTTTTCTCCCCTCTTCCAGAGTATCTACTTCACTATGCTGACAAAAGAGCAGCAGGACTCTAAACCAAGTGCTGAGCCTGAACCACAAAGTTCCATCTCTAGATAAAGTACTTGCTCATCCTGCAAATGGGGGAGATTGGGTGAAGACAGGGATGTAACTTCATTTCTTGATGGGACCTCTAATATCAAGGTATAAAATATCAACACACCAATTAGAAATAATACTGAAGACTTATATAGGTGAAGACCTTCCTTTGTTCATAACCTCCTAATGTGGTGCTAAATGCAATCAAGAGTCTGACTTTTGTCTGAGAGCTTCTACTTGCTCTAGGGGTCTGCAATAAATGAATTAAAACCAGGTTAAAGATGGGTAAATGAATACATATTGCAGGCACTCTTAAAAAAAGCACCATTAGCAGATCATAGGCTGCTCTGGCTTAGAGGTTAGGGACACAGAGCTGGTATGTGGAATGAAAAAGGAGGCAATCTCTCAAGTTCCTTTGCAGACAGTCTCCCATCCCAGGGAAAACCATTTACCTTGCGCTCCTCAGTTTTCAGTGCTGGCTGCCCCAGTGGGTCTACTGACTCTCCATTCATTGTAGGTAAGATCATGCCCTGGGTAAACTCTGAAAAGATAAAATCCCAGCTCATGGAAGTTATTTCTTAGTAGCTGAGATTTCATTACAGATTGACAAACACAGCCATCCTATCACAGAATGAGGTTATGACCAGAAAAGGAAGAGGGTATTTTTACATCTTTACCTTTGGTCTATGCCAGACTGGTATCTGGGTATATGATATAGAACATAGTGTGTTCACTGGGATTTCCATTAAAACTTATCCTCCTGACTCAACTAGAAGCATTACAGCATATTAAGTGCATGTAAGGTCTACTATGGAAAGAAGCCAGTGAATGCGATGGCACTTCAATGACTTCAAGAATGGGTAATCTACCCAGCATCCATGGATGCATGGTTAGTGCCTTTCCTCCACTCTGCCTTACCTCCGTAGAAAAGCCACAACTAGTTATGGCACTGGAGTACCGGTCCTCCCCAAAAAGGCGTCTATCACCTTCTGTGCTGGTTTCCTTTGATGGATATTATACATACTCCAACACCAAGATCAGAACATACTAGCAGAAATGAAATCCCAGGGGAAACCTGAGCTGACTTCTATTCTAACCATCTAAATATCCCTGGAGAATGCATAGCAAAGACAGTCCAGACTGTATTCAAGTAATGAGTCCAGAAATGCCAAGTCTTTAGATTAGTGCTATTAGAAATATAATGTGAGCCTCAAATATAATTTTAAATATTCTAGTAGACACATCATTAAAAAGTTAAATGAAACAAGTGAAATTAACTTTAATAGGATATTTAACCTAATATATCATATTATCATTTGTCTTCAATATTAAAAAAAATTAGGATAATTTATGTTGTACCAAGGTAATTTCTTTGTACCAAGTCTTTGAAATCCATAGTGTGTTTTGTTTTTTTTTTTTTTTTTGAGACAGAGTTTTGCTCTTGTTGCCCAGGCTGGAGTGCAATGGTGCAATCTCGGCTCACTGCAACCTCTGCCTCCTGGGTTCAAGCAATTCTCCTGCCTCAGCCTCCTGAGTAGCTGGGATTACAGGTATGCGTCACCACACCTGGTTTCCCCATGTTGGTCAGGCTGGTCCCAAACTCCAGACTTAGGTGATCTGCCTGCCTCGGCCTTCCAAAGTGCTGGGATTACAGGCGTGAGCCACTGCGCCTGGCCCATAGTGTACTTCATACTCACAGCACATCTCTCGTGATTTTTGGTCACTCAGGCTGAAGTGCAGTGGCATGATCTCAGCTCAATGCAACCTCCCCACCTCCTGGGCTCAAGCCACTCTCCCACCTCAGCCTTCTGAGTAGCTGGGATTTCAAGCGCGCACCACTGCATCCGGCTAATTTTTGTATTTTTTGTAGAGACGGGGTTTTGCCATGTTGCCCAGGCTGGTCTTGAATTCCTGCGCTCAGGCAATCAGCCCACCTCAGCCTCCAACAGTGCTGCGATTACAAGCGTGAGCCACCATGCCCGGCCCTCACAGCACGTCTGTTTGGTCTCGCCATATCTCAAATGCTCAACCGTAAATATTACACAACACAGCTCCAGATCTTTCCCTTACTCAGAGCTTATGGACTGACTTTAAGATGAAATAAGCCCCCTCCCCCCAAATCTTTATCCATTTGTCAAAGAAAAGACTGTCCAGGCCCTTAACCAGAATCTAACAGGTGGAAACTACCTCCTCAAGGCATACAGAACTACTCGAGGGATACCTGTTTTGAGAGTGCTGATGTAAATTCCCATTGCTTCTCTTAGAAGTTTCACCCCTTCTTCCTTCATTAAGGCCACGAGATTTGTGTCAGGCTCATCTTTGGCAAGGCTCACACTAATCTGAGTGAAAGATGAGAAGTAGGTGGTAAATAACTTGAGGGGCACCCTCATTATGGAATGTGGGGGTTGATCAGGTAGCTGCTGACATTTCCAAAGGAAATGCATGAGGAAGGCAGTATTCATACAATCCGCATTAGTGTTCCTTCTTGAGTCCTCTCTGCCAAGTGGCTAATGTTAGTTATAACCCATGTCACTAGCTAAAGTGAAGAAATTAAAGTGCAAACTGCTCTGGAAGTTTCCAATGGCACCATACGCCTAGAAAATTATATGCAGACTAGGGTTCTGAATGCTTGGACCAAGCCTGGGCTATAAATCCTGAATGACAGGTCACTTTTCTCACGTGAGAATAAAAGGATATAGAGGACGCAGATTAGGAGTTAGGAAGCACAAACCTCCACTTCATCCACGCTGTTTTCATCAGACAAATTGGGGATCTCCACATGTCCTTTGTACTGTACTCCTGACTTAGAAGTACCTGTCAAAAGCAATGCAATGTCATTAGTCCACTCCTATGCAGGAAAGGTCTCTGCTCCAGGGTCTAATGCTACCTCACTTCTGCTGCTTTTGGATGGCTGAACTGATCCTCTTTATTCTGAGAATGCCACATGCCAGATGTAATCAACACTCCCCATCCCCCAAAAGAAATGTCTTTCCTCACCAGGTTACTGGAAACCAACTATGTTATTACAATGTGAGACAAAGAGCTACAGATTCGGTACTAGCATGAGTTACACCATGAGAACTTGGGTCAAAAGCCAGTAGTTCTGCTAGAATACTTGTTTTGAAAATATCAATTTATTTTTTATTTTTTCTTTTTTTTTTAATGCTACTGGCAGGATCAACCAGGTAATATCAATTTATTTCAATGCAACTGAATTATTAGGGAACAATTTGATTATAAAGAGAAGTTCACGTTTGCCTATACGTGACTCCATCCATAAGAAACACTAGGTGAATACGGAAAATCTGACCCAGCTACATAGGACACATAAAACACACACATCTCAAACACGTCTCTGCCAACAACTTTGGTTTACATCGTGTGTTGTGAGCCATAACCATCCTTATCTAGTGTAATGTTCCTTCTGATTGTAAATAACTCTCCTACCATTCCACAGTAGCCCTTTCAAGCTGCAACCCTCCTGATGCCGACTTTTTTTTCCCTTCCCGAAACGAAGTCTTGCTGTCACTCAGGCTGGAGTGTAATGGCACGATCTTGGCTCATTATAACCTCTGCCTCCCAGATTCAAGCAATTCTTCTGCCTCAGCCTCCAAGTAGGTGGGATTACAGGTGCGTGCCACCACACCCAGCTAATTTTTGTATTTTTTAGTAGAGGCCAGGCTTGTCTTGACTTCTTGACCTTGTGATCAACCTGCCTTGGCCTCCCAAAGTGCTGGGATTACAGGCATGTGCCCCCATGCCTGGCCTTGATGCCCACTTTCACAAATAAACTTCAGGTCTTTTTCATGGTAAAGCACCATATTTATTGTAGTACTTATCTATTTCTTACCATTTAATGTGCGCAAAACTATGCTCCCAATTCTTAGTCCCCATATTTAAAAAAAAGTGTCACTGATTAAATTTTGGGGTGTTGTGTCCCTATTGCCATCTTCCCTGTAAGCCCTGTGGGTTTGGTTGAGCAATTTTGCATAGCATGGTGATTTCTAGGGACACTTACACTGAGCTATAGTAGAACTGACTGTATTTCAAAATTAATCAACATTTACCTTCACTTCTCTAGACCTTAGTTTCTCAAGCTACAAAAAGGGGTCAGGGTGCGGTGGCTCATGCTTGTAATCCCAGGACTTTGTGAGGCTGAGGCGGGTGGATCACCTGAGGTCAGGAGTGTAAGACACTCCTGGCCAACATGATGAAACCCTATCTCTACTAAAAATACAAAATTAGCTAGGTGTGGTGGCAGGTGCCTGTAATCCCAGCTACTCAGGAGGCTGAGGCAGAAGAATTGCTTGAACCCAGGGGGCAGAGGTTGCAGCAGTGAGCCCAGATTGCACCGCTGCCCTCCAGCTTGGGTGACAAGAGCAAAACTCTGTCTCCCCCCGACAAAAAAAAAAAGCAGGGGAGTCTGAGCAAGATGACACCAAAGATTCCTTCCATACTACTCTGCTTCAAGTGTACGTTAAAAACAAATCAACGAAAATCATGAACAGATAGATCTACTTTCACCCTTCTTTATGATAGTACTATTCACTTTGGAAATGTTTATGAAAGCATAGATTTCCTGCTCTGCCCCACACACAAGACAGTAGCTATCTCATACTCCTTCAGCTTTTGTGCCTTTCTACATTCAGGCTCCAACAGTCAGGACTGTTAAAAAAATCCATTTAGTATCCCACAATGGCAGAGAAATTTCAGTACCCAACACTGCTTTACACAGGACTCCAAAGCAGCAACATCTGCCTTCTCCCTTCAATGTTTGTAACTCCTCAAAACTGTTCTCTCCCGCTACTTAGCAGGTTAAACAAAACACAGTTAATCTCTCCGACAGCCCAGCTTAGACTTACCTGTCCAGTTTAGTTTGATGCTCCATTCATAAAAGAAGATAAGTTTGCCTTTGCGATTGTTAATGGATGCCTCTCCATCAAGCTTGCTCACTTCTATCACCTCACACTTGCCTTCCTCATTTTGAACCTGCACTGCCAGGAACAGCGTTTTCAGCTTTTCCGTGGACCAATTTGAAGCATCTCTCTCCGTCCTGCAAAGCAGAAACAAAGCTGTGAACCAGTAGTCAAATGGAGGATATGCGTCTCTCTCCTAGGGAACACGAGGTTAAAGGAGGCCTGCGCAATAGTTTGAAAAGAACACAAAAACTCGCAGTCCCACTCCAGTATGTCCACAAACATGTCACCCTACTTCAGGAAGATCAACAAAGACAACTGCTGTAGAGAATGGTATAAACTCAGTGGAAAATTATGCTCTCCTTTCTCAGCATGATAGTGCTGGGGAATACGTGACACTTTTAACATGGCGCCCCCATTTGACCAAGTGGAAAACTGCACTGACTGCTGAGATCAGGAACACAGACAGGACCATAGAAGATAGTACTTAGCTAAAAGGCCCAGAATGGATTAAACCAATAACCTTGACCTCATTGGCACAGTGTTCTGACCTATCAGATTCGAACTTGTATATAAACTTCCTACACACTCACTGCCCCCTAGATGGTCACAAAAACGTTAAGTCCAGGGCTTCAAAACAAACACAACACAAAAATTAGGTCAAGTACTCTGCATGTTAAGAAGGGAGGACACAAAGTGAGATATGGAGAAGAAACATCACTATCTGCCTTCCTACTTATCAACTATTAGAGAAAATGACAGCAAAAAAGCTGCAACAAAGTAGCAATACAATAAAAACATTATGAACAAGTTTCAATGGAAATCAGACATAAAGAAACATTACTTTGGGAAGATTTCATGAAGCAGGGCAGTATTTTAAGAACAGTTAGGTTATAAAACTGTGGCTGCTCGGCAACCTGGAGTTCCAACACACCCAACCTGATAGTTCCGGGTAAGAGGCCGCAGGTATCACTGCGCTCTGAGCACCTGCACAACACGTTCTAAATCTCCCGCGGGACTGCGGCAGCGGTCTCCTATGAATCACTTTTAAGTTCACTGCAGGCCGCAAAATAGGAATTACAGACCCCCGGCCTCAGGTCTTTCACAGCAATCTCCCAACACAATCGCAGGAGGTTCCAGTCTCAGTGACTCCTCTGGCCACGTGTAGTAAGCACCTCCCTGCTCCGGCTGGATGCAGTAACCAGGGCGTTATCTCTCAGTCACTCTGACACCCCTCCTCTGGGGCGCAGCCCTCTACGTCCACTTCCCTCCCCTCAAGCACTGAGAAGCTGGCCGGGGAGTGGAGAGGCCTGCGGCTACGGACCCCTGCCACAGCAAAGACCCACCCCCACATCCGGGCAGGGCTACCTCAGCCCCAGCCAGCTCTGTCCGGGCCGAGATTCCAGGAACCCTGAAACGCTGGCCCGACCGCAGTGCTCCCAGGGCCGGCCTGCTTTGCTAGCCCTCACCAGTGCCAGTTGTTGACGTTGGTGGCGTCCGCCCGCTCCTCCACGATCCAGCGTGGGTCTCCCTCACCCCACTTGGCCATCGACTCTCCTATAGCGGCGCCACCAGCTCCGGAGCAGCCGCAGCCACAACCTCAGGACAGCTTAGTGCCAGCCGCCCGGCAGCGCCTGGAAACTACTAGAAGCGGCCGCAAGCACCTCCTGGCTCGCTTTTCCCTCCACCCCCTCCCCTCCTTAACTTCCGGCTCCTCCCCACTCCCACCGGCTACTTCCGTCCCAACTTGCAGCACAATGGGTTCCACCTGATTTAGAGTTCCTTTAGACTGCCTCAGGTTCTCCCCAAAAAGGGGCCCGAAACCTAACTCCTCATATACGACCATTCCTCACTCATAGAAAAACAAAGAACACGTCTCATTGTTTCCCTGTGCCCTGAATCTGCCCTGCTGAACCTCATGGGAATTGTAGTCTTTTTTACGTGATCCGCTGGATAACCGCGGAAGGTCGCGCTGAAAGGAGAGGAAATGACCTAGCATGGTGCGTGGGTTTTCTGGGGGCTGTAGTCAAAAAGTCTTGTGGTTCATCGGGACAGCGCCTGACAACAGAAGCAGGAGAAACTACAACTTCCAGTATGCCCTCCGGCCTCTTTATTCGCGTTTCCTTTCCGCCCTGCGATTATTCCCTTCCGCCCCTTCTCTAGCTGCACAGCCTCAATAGCAAGGCTGGTCCAGCGGCGGCGGAGGCTGGCGCTGTCCTGAGAGGGAGGGCTCGGTGCAGAAGAGGTGAGGGTGTCCCAAGCGCCTTGGGTCGCGTATCTGGCTGAGTCCAGCCTCTCCGCATCTTGATCTTCCCCCCTCTTCTAGGAGGTATCCCTACACCCTACCACCCCAGGCCTTATTCTCTTCTTTCAGTCTGGGCGACCCTTGGGCACTGGAGTACGCTTGGGATTGGGGCTGCGAGTGAGCCCCAACGATTGATTTGGAAGCCGACTTTTGGTTCATAACGAGCATTTACTCTGTCAGGGATCCGCTGGGCTCTGACGACTGCGGTAGATCCATGGCTTCCTGGACGTTCACTCATAGAGTCATCCTACCTTAATTCATGTTCCCTGGTCTCAGTTCACAAGCCTCACCTGTATCTTCCTGGCTCGGAAGATAATTGAAACCAAGTCTGACTTCTCACTAGCTGGTTTTTGGAGTTTTCTGAGGCAGGGAGCGTGTTGTGGATTTCTTGCAGATTCTCTGTTTTCCTTTGTAAAATTCCTGTTCTCCCCTGAGATATCTCACCCTATCTTGTGGGCTCTCAGTAAACAGGAGACGATAAGGACAAACCCCTGAAGTATTTAAAATCATGTTGAAGCACCTTTCTGTCACTCTTAAGATGGTATCTGATTACTTTATAACTCCAGAGCCCTTAAATCATTATCTGTACTTGCCAAGTAAACCTAGCTTCTCATTTGGCGCTATAAATACAAATTGATGGCAGGTGTCTAGTATGGTTAAAAAGATTCCAGAAATCCTTTCGCAGATTATTTGGTTAGACAAATTCTATGTCTATCTGTAAATAATTACTATAGTGAAGGAATGATCTCTAGTTTTCCGGAGAGTGAAAAATAGGTAGAAAGACCACGGAAGACACCGGAAATGGTCTAGGAGCCAGAAAGCCTGGATTATAATTTTGAAATAAGAGCACTTAACAAGGTGGCTTTGATAGGGAACTCTTGTGCCTCACTTTCACCATGAGTCACATGGAAATGGAATCTCCCTGGCCTACCTTACAAGATTGTTCTGAGGGTCAAATGAATGACAGAGTGATTTGTGAACTGACATGTGTGCCAGAGAAACATCTTCTATACACATCTTCAGCATTTGTGGCCACTCAAAATTTTTGTATTTTTTTTTTAATCTTTAGGATTGCTAAAAAATAATTTCTTTTTTAGCTTTTCCCAAGGTAACATGATGACGTATAAATAATAAAAGCGTTAATTTTGGGTCAGGCACTGAGTACTTCACATGAATTAACTGGTTTACTTTTCATAACCATTCTCTAAGGTAGGTCATCTGTTATGCTCATTTTACATGTGGAGAAACCAAGATGCAAAAATGTCAGTATGATATTCCATACTAAAAATAATTAACATTTAGTATTTACTTTCTGCTAGACACTTTTATAGGTGTTCCCTGCAATCCTGTGAGGTAGGATATAATTTTCTCCAAGGCTTAGAAGTAGTCATTTATCCAATTTGCTCAGAATTAAGAGAAATCAGGATTTGAACCCAAGGCTGCCTGACTACAATGCCTGTGTGGGATGATTCATGGTGTCTGCTAGCATTTTTGGCTTATCTCTCTCAAATTAAATACAGAAAAGGATTTTTAAAGCAACACTGTTCCAGTAGAAATCAATTAGTGATGTCTGCCACGGGAAGGGAGCAGATAGTAGAAAATTCCCACAATACCTTTGCTCTCCCTGTATCCCTTGAGTTGAAAACAGAGTCAGGAAGTAACCGTAGCATATCTTAAAGGCCATCAAAAGCCTCAACAGGACTACCATGACGAGGCTTTTCTAAGCCTTTAGTGATGAAGGTGCTATTAAAGCAAAAGGAAAGCAAATGGTTCTTTTATAACTTGATACTGTTTAGCCTTTACAGTATCTTTGGTGCTATGGGAGTTTTAATACCTCGTCCTTGGCTTAATTGTAGTTTTAATTCTAATCCAGTTGGCATTCATAGTTTAGTTTGTAATTCTGGTTCTTTATTTAGAGACAGGGAGGGTCTCACTCTGTCTCCCAGGCTGGAGTGCAATGGTGTGTTCTCAGCTCATAGCAGCCTTGACCTCCCAGGCTCTGGTGATCCTCCCACCTCAGCCTCCCAAGTAGCTGGGACTATGTCGCCATGTCCAGCTAGTTTTTATTTATTTATTTTTTTTGTAGAGACAGTCTTACTATGTTGCCCAGGCTAGTCTTGAATTTGGGCTCAAGCGATCCTCCCACCTCAGCCTCTCAAAGTGCTGGGAGCCCCTGTGCCCTGTCTAGTTTATAATTCTGGGGCAAACCTGTTTTTTTCAGGGCAAAATTGAATTTCATAGTAGTTATAACAGGGATTTGTGGTCTGTTGACTATCTTTGTTTTCTTGGGCAAGCCCTCATTCCAGATTTTGGCCAACAAGTTGTTAATAAGATAGACATAATTTGAAGATTTAGGTGAGATAGTTCTGCTTCTTTTAATTGCTTTGCTTTCTGTTCTTTCAGGCATTTAAAAAGCATACATGAAAGTGGAATATTTGGCCGGGCGCGGTGGCTCACGCCTGTAATCCCAGCACTTTGGGAGGCCGAGGCGGGTGGATCACGAGGTCAAGAGATCGAGACCATCCTGGTCAACATGGTGAAACCCCGTCTCTACTAAAAATACAAAAAATCAGCTGGGCATGGTGGGGCGTGCCTGTAATCCCAGCTACTCAGGAGGCTGAGGCAGGAGAATTGCCTGAACCCAGGAGACAGAGGTTGTGGTGAGCCGAGATCGCGCTATTGCACTCCAGCCTGGGTAACAAGAGCGAAACTCCGTCTCAAAAAAAAAAAAAAAAAAAAAAAAAAAAAAAAAAGAAAGTAGAATATTTGTCAGTTTTATTCGCTGTAATATTCCCACAGCCTAGAACAGTGCCTCAGAGATGGCGCTCAGGAGATATTTGTTGAAAATGTGAATGCAGTTTTTGTCTGTTTTGTGCATGTTTTCATTGATCTTCCAGTGTATTCAGCAAAGTTTTGTGATGGATTCGTATAGCATTTGCCTGTCTTGCACTGTTGCCTTTAATATATACTTATGCTGCATGCCCTAGCTTTGTTGTAGGGTCCTTCAGAAGTGGGACCACATCTGGCACTTTTTTTTTTTTTTTTTTTTTTTTGAGACAAGAGTTTCACTCTTGTTGCCCAGGCTGGAGTGCAATGGCACGATCTCGGATCACCACAACCTCTGCCTCCTGGGTTCAAGTGATTCTCCTGCCTCAGCCTCCTGAGTAGCTGGGATTACAGGCATGCACTACCATGCCCAGCTAATTTTATATTTTTGGTAGAGATGGGGTTTCTCCATGTTGGTCAGGCTGGTCTCAAACACCTGACCTCAGGTGATCTGCCTACCGTGGCCTCCCAAAGTGCTGAGATTACAGGCATGAGCCACTGTGCCTGGCCTCTGGCACTTTTTTGTATACCTTACAACACCTGAGAGAGGGCCCTGGACAAAGTAGATGCTGTTAGAATGATCTGGGTAATTAGAAGATCAGAAGTATGATTTGATCAGTTGGAGACCCAAGGATCTGGTTTTATATGACAGGTTCAGTATTTGTTTTGCCAGATCCTTTTCTGCATCCTTGGTTTTTGGGAGCCGTTAGTAGTGCAAGAAACTAAAGCTTTTAGAGCTCTTTAGGGAGAGGCCTAAAGAGGGACAATGTTTGCCTTCCTCTCACTTCAGATGAATCGGACAAAGGGTGATGAGGAGGAGTATTGGAACAGCTCCAAGTTCAAGGCTTTCACCTTTGACGATGAAGATGATGAGCTTTCACAGGTAGGTCAACTGCTAAAGGTTGTACCCTTCACAGTGCCACTCTAAAATTCCTTCCTCTTGCATTCTGGGTAACCTGGCTTTTGACCATGTCTTCATTAGGCTCAGGAAAGAGCCAGAGGGATTGTAAAATTCAACTCACCGCCTTTCTTGCTTTACTTTTTAAGATGATTTATTCCTTTCAGTTTTTTTTTTTTTTAAGAACCCCAAGTCTTTTATTCATATGATATAATTTTATTCATGTAATATAATGTTTTATTTTTGAAAGGTGAACTGGATTGGAAGATTTATCTTTGTTGTGTCTCTTTTGCAATTGGGGAACCATTTATTTTTGGAGAGGTAAATAAATTCATTCAGGTTTACACTGCAAAGTCACGGCCAGGAATATGACGAGAATTCAAAAGTGGCTTTGATTTCTCCTAACGTTTTTAACCACTGGACTGTAGTGTTGGCTAAGACAAGTTTGTTTCCTTGGCAAATATCTAGTATCCTAGGCTTTCGATTACAAAGGGTGAAAGTGTTGGCCACCTTCAGACCCCAGTTCCTCAGCCTTCTTGATTGTCAGGTGGGAAGAGATGATTGCCTGAGCACCCTGCCTTATGTCCCTTTGCAGTTAAAGGAGTCCAAGCGGGCGGTGAACAGCCTCCGAGACTTTGTGGATGATGATGATGATGATGACCTGGAGCGAGTCAGCTGGACTGGGGAACCTGTGGGAAGTAAGTAGAAGAGGCCCTACACGGGGATGGGTGTTCAGGGTTCTTGTCACTAATGAAGGCTCTCTACCTGTTTGTCTCTTCAGTGCTAGTTGGGAGAGGGAACAAAGTAAGACTATTTTCATATGAGCATACATCTGGAAACTTAGCTCCAGGAGAAGATACTTGGGAAATCCAGCAGGAGTTTCCATATGATTGTATAGGTCTGCTCTTCAGGGGTTGATGCTTGGCTGGCTATTTTAGTCTCATTTGGCGTGCTTGTTTAAATGACATATTCCTAGGCTTTATTTCAGAGATTCTGTTCAGTAGGTCTTCTGCAGCGTGTGGCGGCTGGGGGGTCCTCAATTTTTAATAAGCACTGCAGGTGATTCTAATATGTGGTCATATTTGGGAACTACTGACTAATAATCATAACTGGTTGACAGAACAGAGTTCCTTACCCATGACTGTTATGTGATACCACTTAATAATTTTTCAGAGTCCATTTGATTTTTTTCTTGAGATAGAGTCTTACTTTGTTGCGTAGTCTGGAGTGCAGTGGCATGATCTTGGCTCACTGCAGCCTCCTTCTCCTAGGTTAAGTGATTCTAATGCCTCAGCCTCCCGAGTTGCGGGGATTACAGGCATTCATCACCATGCCTGGCTAATTTTTGTATTTTTAGTAGAGGTGGGGTTTCACCATGTTGGCCAGGCTGCTCTCGGACTCCTAACCTCAAGTTGTCTGCCTGTCTTGGCCTCCTAAAGTGCTGGGATTATAGGTATGAGCCACTGTGCCCAGCCCCCATCTGATTTTTTTTTTTTTGGTCAGAGTTCAACCAGACCCCACCTGATTTTTAAGAAATATTTTTAATTAAAAGCTTACAAAAATAGGACATACTATAATGTGACTTAAAGATTAAAATAAACTAAAGGTATATAGTGAAAAGTTTCCATTCCATATTGCTATGTATCTTCTCAGTTTTCAGTTCCTGTCCTCCCAAAAAACAGTCACTGCTGCTTTGTTTCTGTGTATTCATCTAAAAATTCTTTTTGTGTTTGGAAATGTATATAGAAATATAGTAGCATACTTCACGCCTTGCTCTTTTTGTTTTTTTGTTTTGAGATGGAGCCTTGCACTGTCACCCAGGCTGGAGTGCAATGGCGTGATCTCGGCTCACTGCAACCTCCGCCTCCTGGGTTCAAGTGATTCTCCTGCCTCAGCCTCCCTGGCAGCTGGGATTACAGATGCCTGCCACCACCCAGCTAATTTTTTGTATTTTTAGAGATGGGGTTTCACCATGTCGGCCAGGCTGGTCTCAAACTCCTGACCTTGTGATTCACCTGCCTTGGCCTGGTGCTGGGATTACAGGCATGAGCCACAGGGCCCAGCTGTGTACCCTGCTCTTTTTATGTGTTAATATAGCTTGGAGATCTTTCCATGTTAGTATATAAAGAACATTCTCATTTTCTCTTTCTTTTTTTTAAATAGTAGCATAGTATTAAATTGTATGGATGTACCATAATTTATTTAGTCAGCCCATTATTGAATTTTAGATTTTTTTCCATCTTTTGCTGTTTATATTTCTATCAATGACTTTGTATTCTGACCATAGATGAATAAATGAAAGAGCAATTCTTACAGTGGAATTACTCACATAGGATGTTTTTGTCTGTATTGGGTAGATATTGCCAAATTGACCTCCACAGGGGTTGTACCAATTTGTACTACCACCAGCAATGGAGGAGGGTTCCAGTTTCCTTACAACCGGGCCAACACAGGGTATTATCAAGCTTTTGGATCCTTCCCCATCTTATAGGGGCCTAATAGTTTCTCATTGTATTTTTAATTTGTAGTACTCTTAGCAAAGCTGGGAGCAGGTGGTGTGTGCCTCTGGAAGGTAGTGGTAATGGATTGCTTGAGGCCAGGAGTTGAGCCTGACATGAGGCATGATTGTGAGATGTGATTGTGAATAGCCACTGTACTCCAGAGCTCTGGCAACACAGTGAGACCCTGTCCTAAAAAAGGAAAAAGGAAAAAAAGAAAAACAAAAAGAGTGAAGTTGAGCATCTTTTCATATATATATATATATATATA